TGGACATCTTTTTATGAGTAAGTTGAACATGCATTGGGTTTGCTCCATCTGCATCTTTGTCTTGGGATCAGGCTCCTACTCCTTACTTTCTCAAGGAAGGCAACTTATGGACTTTTAGTTTTCCTGAGGAATTTGGGCTGTGAGGGTCTGGTAGTGAAGGAGTCTAACTTTAACCAAGGATGCTGAAGTGCATGGCCTTGGGTAACTTTGGTTGGTTCCTGGGAGCTACAGTCTCATTCAAAGTACAATTTTTTTACTCAGAATTTCCTTGTCTTCTTTCCACTCATTCTTTGTTCCTCCCATGCCACCTCAACCCCACCCTGCAGAGGATGCGTGGGTGGTCTCGGTTTGTCCTGTTCCCCAACTCTGCTGCAAACATTCATGCCGGAGGTTAGGAGATGCCCAGGGGGCCCATGCCCAGCAGGGAGGCCTGTCCGTCTAGCCACAGATTGGATCGCCTGGCCTTCCCACAGGACCATGATGAATGATATCCCTGTCTTCCACCTTGATTTTGGACACATTTCCCACATTGTGGGCTAATTTCCTTTGTAGAGCTTCACCCTCTACACCTGACCATGGCTTCTCAACAGCATCAGCGAGGATTCCAGACCATTCTTTCTCCTCAAGGCTGACGTCTGTCGGGGAGTTTAGAACTCTAGGACAATATAGGCGGTTTCCCCTTACACAATGGTTAAGAAGATTTCTACTGAGTTAGACACATCACAAATGTGACTAATGCTTCTGAATTTGTAACCTCGCCTGCCATCGTAATAGGCCTGGAGGCCTTGAAGAGATTGCACCATTCCCCACTGGTGCAAAACAAGATGGTCCAGTTGCCACCCCTATGTCCTGGTCCCCAGTTCCTCATTGTAATTTGGAATGGGAATTGTCTGGGGGTCACCCTAGAGGGTAAGTCCCAGTACCAAGCTGTGCAGTTTAGGGAACTATGTGTGACCTGTGTGCATAGCAGTGTATGTTAGAAGGATGCACCTGTTATAGCTGTTACAGGCTTTTGTTTCTATCTTCACATTGGATGTGGCGCTACTTCCCAAAAGAAAGTTGCTTTGTAAACAGTTCATTACAGGACGTTCATAATGGTATTGGCTCAGAAACTGCTTATTGTCCTCACCAGCCAGCTACTGAGCATAACCGGGTGCAACTTGCACAGATGCTTAGTCAGCTTGGGTGACTTCAAATGTGTTTATTTCTCACTGTCCTGGAGGTTGGGAAGGACAAGATCAGGTTTTGTACAAATTCCATTCCTGATAGGGGCTCTCTGAGTGGCTTGAAGACAGCAGCCTTTGCACTGGAGGGAGGGAGGAAGGGAAGTAGGGAAAGAGGGAGAGAGGGAGGAAAGATTGGAGAATGGAGGAGAGGGAGGGAGAGAAGAAGGGAGGAAGAAAGAGAGACGGAGAGAGAAACACTGGTCTCTTTCTTTTCTGATTATGACTGTAATCTCATCAAGGGAACCACCTGCATGATGTCAGGGACATTAATTACTCTCAAAGGCCGCAACTCCAAAGGCCATCACAGTGAGAGTTAGGTATTGAACATAGGATTGGAGGGGAGGTAAACATTCAGCCCACAACAGACACTAAGAAAACTAAAACCAGGTATCAGTTTTGTCTCACTATTCAGGCTCCTGGGTCAGTGACTGTCTCCCTTGCACACCGCTCCCCTGGGGGAGAAAAGAAGATCTTAACCCTTAAGTCGTATGGAACTTAAAATCTATAGCCAAAGACTCACAGGTAGAACTATTAGAGTAATATGTTGCCTCCTCGTGTCAAACGACTATTGCCTAAATGTAGCAGCGTGAGTTTGGAAAGAAGTTAATGATTTTCTTCACTTGGTTGGTCACAAGTAGGACAGTGTGATGTCCAGCATTTGGAATAGAAATACCCAGCTTGAGTCTTACCTAGCATTACACAGGTGATTATAGGATCTTGAGCAAGACATTTAGCATGTTGAGCCTCCATTTTCCTGACTGTAAAATGAGAGTAACAGTTACTGTATTGGTTAAAATGTAAATGGGAAATTACTAAATCACTTATATTTATAGGTTCAGTATTTTCTTTGCATTAGGTGATAATTATTAAACTATTCTTAACTATATCAGGCAGAAGACAGATTCATACAAGTTTTAGTTTCAAACCTAGAAAACTATTTTCAGGAAGTAGTAAAGGAAGCTTGGAGAGGCAGTATTACTTAGGCTACCATGCTCAAAAAGTATATGTGATCTACTTTTATATATTTCAAATTCAGAGACAAGAGAGCACAATATGTAAAACTGGTTTATTCAACATGTATATGTATGAAATATATAATTAGTTTCGCTGACAAATGTAGGCAGGGTAAAGTTCTCTAATGAGATCACTCATATAAGACAGAGATTGGCTACCATTCCCCCTGGGCTTCTCATGCATAACAAAACTCTTTTGCCATTGCTATAACTTGTTGCAGGGAAGCATTTTGTGATATCTGGCATTAACAATATGGAAAGGAAAATGAAGAAAAGGAACCGTGTCTGTATTCTGAAATTTTGAAATAAATCCGTACTTGCTTGCCCTCAGAAGGAAACCTATCTAATGGAACAGAGATTAGGAGAATCCAATGCATACGTAGTCATCAAGTTAATTTACTTTTCAGCAAGCAGCTGTTTTTGCGGAAAGAAGCATGCAAGACCCTTCCCTAACATCCCACCAAGAGTTATTCCTGAGTCCAATGAAAGGATGTAGTCACCGTCTATCGGTACTTCTTCGATATGTCTGCTTTCTCCTTTCACAATTAGGGATCCTTATTTGAAAGACTGAGGATTTTAGCAAAATCTCTTAATTGGTTCTTTGACCCACCCTTGCCCTGAGCTCCCGTATCCTTCTAGTATACTTTTTGGGAGTCACTTTATTGCACCCCAATTCTCCACTGCCTGTTCACAAAGTCCAGATCACGTGGCCTACACACACCTGCACCACCTTGCCATTTCTCACGTCTCTGCTCACCAGCCTTGCTCCGCTCTGGCCCTTGAACCGCAGACATCTGCCTGCGTGTCCTCTGCAGCTTCCCGCTTTCTGTCAGCATGTAGCGGAGCACCTCGGGGCTCTGTGAGCTGTGCTATTTGTAGTTTCCATGCACTGCCCACACCATCTCCTCTGCATGGAACGTCCTGCCTCAAATCTGTCTCCTAGAAAATATACACCCACTGTTCAAGACAGTACAGAGTCTGTATAATTTTGGCCTCTTAGTTAAAAACTAACCATGCTCAATTCAGATGTTAGTTGCTGAAAGTGACAATACAGCTGTGTCTCTTAGGTCTTGCGCTTTAAGGGAGAGGTTCCCATGGCATACCTTTGCTCATCCCTAATGCCTGCCTAGCTCCTGACATGTAAACACTTGTATAACTCATCTTAGCCCAGCTCCTCCTTTCAGCATGCAAATGGAGCAAAGAATAAAGCAAGCAACGCCCCAGAGCTCAGACCCATCCTACCAGTTTGTCTAAGAAGAATGAGGGGGCCCGGAGGATACTCTGCCTTATCCCTCTGGCCAGACTGTCATCTCCAGGAGGAGCCCCGGGTAATCATGACTTTACAGGAAAAAGAAAACAGCCTGTTGCTAGACACAGGTGCAAGTCTCTCAGTCCTTCCTTTCAATCCTGGCCTTCCTTCCAGCCGTCACACCTCAGTGAAAGGAGTCACTGGTGAGGAGGTAATACGCTATTTTTCACAACCTTTAGGCTGTAACTACTTGTTAGATCTTTCTTGCATATCTCTGCCTTCCTGAGAAACCACTTTGAAGATACCACCATGTATTACAGCAGCCACTGATATTTTCCTACTAATCTGTCCATAACTCTGTAATGTTTGTATTGCTCCTATGCTATTTCGTAAATGAACGTATGTTTATTACTATGTGTTTCCTACAACAACCATTGAGAATAGTCAATGAATATTCAATTGGTCACTCATGTATTGCTCCATTTATTTTCTTTAGAAACCACTTTGAAGATACCAAAGTATAGTATAACAACCATTGATAATAACCTACCACTTTTGTCTGTAGCTCACTATTAGTCTATTTGTTTTCCTGAGAAACTATCTTGTAGATAATATGTAAAACAATAATCATTGATAATTTCCTATCACTTTGTCTGTTAATTTGTTAAGCCCTCCTATTACTATGTTATCCTTCTTTTGCTCTTTAAAATAATTTTTTAAAAAAGCATGCAACAAAAAGCTGATCAGACAGCACTTAGCTACCAGTGCAAGAGTTTCTTTCTTTCTTTCTTTCTTTTTTTTTTTTTATGAGTTTCAAGAGAAATACGGAGACACAAGAGATTTGAAGGACTCCGGGATGACGCTGACCTGATGAAGTCAGAGAAATTCATCAACTGCCTCATGTTGGGGGGCCCATTTCTGGCATGGGGTTTCTGCATAACTACAGTCAGGAAGGGGTGCTTCTTCCTACCTTGTTAAGCAACAACTAAACCTGCCCACAAGCAAATCCTCCATTTATCCCAAGAAGTTCAACAACTCCGGTGTTCAGGAAGTAAAACTTTCGTTCCTGCTCCCTCTTCCCACATCTACTTGAGCACATCAGTCAATGTGAGACCCATTTGTGCTATTTATTTCCAAGTTCCACACGAGCATCACTTCCTTCAAGCACCACACCTCTGGCTCTTCAGGTAGACTTATTTCTTCCCCTCTTTTCCTGTGGCACTGTATACACTCTACTATAGCTCGTCAAAAATAGTACCCATTCTAAAACATGGCGTTGCAACAAGTACGTGGCTAGCAAAGAGGAACCACTCCAATGAATGGAATCTTGCGTTAATGATATGGAATCAAGACTAATTTTGTTCACTATTACCCTAAGAATTTTCTTGACATGTAATGAGAATGAGATATCATCATCTTTGCACACAGACTTAATTTTGCAGTGTTCTGGAGAGTTTTTCTTTTTTTTTTCTGACAGCAATACTAAAGTTTAAAAAAGTGCAAAAGAGTCAATTATTTGTAAGAACATTATATTTTTAAGAAATGAATTTATTTGAACAATTGCTACAAGGAAAAGTGAAAAACTACTAACAGAATGGTTCTCTTTCCGTGTGTGTGTGTGTGTGTGTGTGTGTGTGTGTGCACATGCGCTAGCCCATGCACGTGTGCACACCCACACGCAGCACTACGGATTGAACTCTAGGCCTTCACACTGAGCTGTGCTCCCAATCTTTCTTTTTAATTTTTGAGACAGGATCTTGCTAAATCACTAAGCTTGCCCACCATTGGCTTGAACTTGAGTCCTCCTGCCTCAGCCTTCTAGAGCACAATGGTTCATTCTCAAAGTGGTTGCTTTTATAAATCCAGTATCGACTTCAGACAAATTCAGATGGCTGAAATAGCCCCACCGAACATCTATATTCTTTGGCATTGCCATTTAATGCTTTAGCTATTTAAAATATTTAAATAAATATGTAAGCTGAATAATTGAACACAAAGTTTAACTATTACACTGCAACCGAATTTGTTGTGATAAAACCTCAGTTAAACCAAAATCTGTTCTTTAAATTTGCTCTGATTGGATCACTGGCTGATGGACACCACCCTCTCCACACCACTCATGCGATTGTTTCATGATTCTGTTACTAAAATAGTTTCAATGCTCAAAATGCACACCTAGCTTGTGGGTTACTTTTTAGGATTTGGTAATTTTACACAAGTATCTGAAGGCTTGTTTTCACATCGCTGCCTCTCAACTCTTGTATCTGAACAGCCTCAGCGAAATCAACTTCCAAGCTTGGCAGTACTAACTCACCTGAAAACAGCAATGTCCTTCAGTCCTACTCACGTGGGTTCCATATATTACTGCAGTATCTATTCTCCTAAAGCCATAAGCTATATTTAAAAATGAAATGCAGAAAACAGACCAGAAAACAAATCTGAGGGCTTTAAGAAATTATACAGGACATTAGTAAAAACTTTAAACATAACCCTTGCAATGATACATATCTGCAGACAAAACAGAACAAAAAAGCAGACTGGATTTGTTTTTATATTCACAACACATGCTCTGTAATAACTGAATTAGAATAATAAAGCAATGCAGATCAAATGTAGTTTTTCTTTCAATCTCTGTGGATGTAGATATCTGCATATTTATTTGATACATCCATGTGCAGCAGATACTCAAAGTACTTCAATCCTATATCCATTTATTTCTCGGAGTGTTTTAGCCATAGTGACACATAAAAGGAAAAAATTAGCAAATGTCGGGCTTCTCTGTAAGTATATTGTTCAAATATAAATAGTGACCAGATATGTAATATTAGTCATTGCTACAGAAAAACACAAATTTCTATACTTTCTGATCAGTTACTTTTTCATTAAACCTTAACTTTGCCAATATTGGTTTCACATAATGAAAATACAACATTCTTGATTTACTGGGGAGTCCATGTGATATGTGAAAAAATAAATTGAGTTTTAGTGATTTTTGTGGCTAATTCAACATGCTTTCATCGAATAAGAAAAGTGCTTTCAGTGTAATAAATCAGTCCTTCAATAAATCAGAATAAACTTATGATAAAGTGAGTGATCTTCATAAGTCTTCCAAACTTCAAATGTAGGCCTAACAGAAGAATGAGCACAGGAGGAAAAAACCCACACAAATAAATCTCCTATGGCTATCATCTCACATGTGACTTTCTTGTATTGCTGAATTCTGTCACAAGCTGTTTCCAAGGGCTGAATAGCGTTGTACAAGGGACCTGTGGGAGAAGATTAGAGACCTTTTGTTCTTGGTCTTACATGGTAAGCACTTTATGTGATTCTTAATCACATCTTTATTCGGAACACAGTGGCACAGTTCACATTTTTCTTAATCACATTTATAGTGAGCTGTGCTCTATAAATATAAACATACTTGCGCACAGAACGCATACACATTGACACAGGAGTATGAAGTTAGCCAGACATCCATAAGCAGAATGGTATAAGGATTGCAGGAAAGGTAACGTATGATGCCAGTCCCATGCAGACTATAGACGCCAATCCCAAGACTGCTGAAGCAAGAACACTTCTCTGATCACGAATAATTATCTTCACGTATTCACAAAACTGGAAAACAAACGTTAAGAATATTAAGGAAGGTGATTGAATCTAAAAAGAACCACATATACCAAACAGTAAAACAGTTTTCTCAGCTGTTAGGATTTTCTGCCTGTTAGGAAAGCTAGACATTCTCTGCTCACAGCCCAGTTCCTTGCCTCTATGTCCCATAGTACCTGAAGTGCTGTTTTAGGTAACGAGGTCAATCATGGCAGTTACCTTTGTAAATACAGAATTTTACAGACAATTAAGGAATGTAAGTGCATAAAAGTTATTTAGGATTAAAGGCTAAAAACAACATGAAGGCCAGGTGTGGTGGCACGCACCTGGAATCCCAGCACTTAGGAGGCTGATGCAGGAGGATCCCTGTGAATTCAAGGCCAGCCTGAACTGCATAACGGACCGCTGTTTATTTAGCAAAAGATAAATAAATAAATAAATAATTAAATACCATTAAATTAACCATTCCAATAGCGTATTCTAAAATTACACATGAAAAGGTCTCTAACCCTGAACTACAAGAAAGGAATTTAGGCTATGATTATTGGTGAACTCAATTCTTCTAATTTACCATTCTAAAAATTGGAGATACCAATGATAACTGTTATGGTTTGTACTAAATGTCCCCTCAAAACCTCAGGCAGTCATGGGGTGGGCTTCTAGAGTTTCTGATTGACTCATTGTCCAATGATGGGATTATGGGTGTGAGTGCTACTCCCGCCCTGGGGAGGGCAGCCTGCATACAACATAAAGGAGGGAAAGAGGCTTGCTCTCTGCTGCTCCTCCCTTTTGCTCTTGTTGCTTTTGCTGTTTTCCACTGCCATGAACTGTTGCCCTCTGCCATGAGCCACCCTGCCTTGGAGCCTGCTGAGTATGGACTGAAACCTCCACACACTGTGAGCTAAATAAACCTTTTCTTCCTTAATTCGGGACATCAGGTATTTTGTCTCAGCAACAAGGGAAAAGTAACTAAGACAATACCTTTTGTATAATTCTCCAAATTTTAAAGGTATGGCATTGGTTTTGCTTTGTGGTCATATCCCATTCCTTGATTAAATTAATTAAATTCACCATCAATTTTGTGACATATAATTGGCTCCTGGAAATAAAGATAAGGTAAATATCTTTTACCCCTGACAAATGCATTCTTCTGATAAGTGTAATTTTTTCTAAGAAAAATAAATTTAGCTTGAAAGTGATAGGTCATGTTTGAGTGTCCTGGCTCCTTCTCTTTTGGCTCTGTGACCTCAACTGAATCACTTACCCTGCCCCGACCGCCCTCTTCTTCATGTGATCCTGAGGTGGTTGTGAAGATCAAGGGAGATCTTTTATGCAGAAGGCTACTTTGTAGTCCACATGCTACATAAACTTAAGGCCCTGCAATGCTTGTTATCACCGTTGTATGTGTTGACAGTTATCTCTACCTCAACTGTCTTCACGGCCAGAATTTCAAAGTCAATTACCATTTTTATATGAGTTTTTCTATTCATACTACATTTAAATAGCTTTTCTAGCACACTGAATTGTATGTGCTTTTAGCGTCTCTTACAGTTGCTCATACAGTACTGAGTAGTAGGTTTGCAAATTTCCTCTCCTCTCCTTTCTTTTCCTCTCCTCTTTCTCCTCCCCTCCCCACCTCTCCCCTCTCTTTTCCTTTGCTTTCTTTCTCTTTTTTTTAAGAGATGGGGTTTCACTATGTTGCCCAGGTTGCATAGTGGCCTTGAACTACTCAGTGGTCCTCCTGCCTCAGCTTCCCAAGCAGCTGGGAAGGTGTCTAAATTCTTATTAGACAGAATAAACAAACTCAGTATAGTTACGCGCCTCAGTGACAATGCAGTAAACAACCAACAAACATATACAATGATAATCCTAGAGGATTTTATCATTGGTGTAAATACGCTCTGCAACGGTGGTGCTCCCACAACGGTAGAATTGCCCAATAATGCATTTCTTATGGAATGCCATAAAGGATGCACGCCTTATTTTACCACACAGACTTGACTGCACGGTTACCTGCATTCATACTTTAACACACTATTTAAACAAGGCTGAAGCATCCTGTCAGTCATCCAAATGCGGCCTATTTATAGCACAAGCCTCTGATTTGTCTCTTTACACTAAACTAATAGGACACTGAGGAACAAGTACCCAGCCTTAAACCAGTAACTATCAAACTAAGTTTTCAGGTCAGCATGGAAAAGAACTTGGTACACAACGAAAGACATGTATCTATGCAAATGAGGAAGTTGTGCTGATATGGCTAGGCTTATTGTTATCTTTGCTCTAATAGTTTCATAATGAAGGGAAAGTAAGAATCATCGTGGACTTCTCTCTAAGAAAAAATTTCCTCAAGGAGCTTCTCTTTCTAACTAATGTCCCTTCCGCCTTCACTTGGCCATCTGCCTAGGAGGCATTTCTAGAGATGGGAAAGTTCCCGGTGTCTCCTGAGCACTGACCCCCGCAACAGAAAATAAAGGGATTTGAACTCTTTTTGGCAACAAAAAAGCAGTATGAGCAAAGCCAGAAAAAAAATCATAGTAGCAAAAAAGCACAAAAATAGCCATTGTATCTAAATGGATTAGTAATTTATAAAATACTAATGTTCAACAATATAAAAATCCCTTAAATTTTATCATTTCTAAACCTGTAAAGAGAGAGAGAGGGAGAGAGAACATTATGGCAAAGAATAAAAGGTTCTTTTCCAAATCCTTCTCAAACTAATCGTGATGTTTTCCTGGAGGAAAGACTTTGAGAGGCTTTGTAAATTTTAGGATGACAGTAGCTGTTGATATGGAGACCCTGGCAGTCAGATCAGATCAAATACTGCACTTCCTTATGCTTCTAAAAAGTAGAAACTGGTCCTCCTCCAGGATTCATGACGCACTTCTCCCAGGACTTGTTCCAAAACACCGTTCTTACAATTAGAAAATTTGGGACGGAGACTTCCCCACTCAGGACATCTAGTGTGGGTCCAATTTGTTCGTTAGACCGTTCAAAGTGAAAACAAAAACGCAGTTTCTCAAGAGGTGCTGTGCTGAAATAGTAATTAAAACACTTCACTGATGTAAAACCCAACAAGGTTTCCACACACGCAAAACCACTTTAGCTAGTTATTAATGCAGATTAAATATTTTACAACCTTTAAAAAGCATTTGTAGTATTTTTTGGTAGAAAGATATAATACAGTGCTACATGCATTTCATTATGGGGTAACTCCTAATTACTGAAGAGAAAAACTGTTTTCCACAGAGAAATAATTTGCCTGGTGCTTAAATAAATCTGACCTGTTTCCTTTTGTCCACTTTTGAAGGCAGTGTTTGTAAATGTGGGAAAGTTCCTTTCTAAACAGCCGTGGGCTGGGGCTATAATTCCTGAATCATTGTACAATGCTCTAACTGTATTTTAATTTTGCTTGGAAAAGAATTTATAGATTGAGTCTATTTTGCCTCTATAAAAATCTACACGAAGTTTCATATACCAATAAATAAAAGTATAATACTTTCATGTTCTGCCGTGGAGGATGAAGAGTTTCTCATATGGGTCAAAAAATATGAGTCAAAATGTCCAGCAAGGGCTCGGGATATAGCTCAGTGGCACAGCACCTGCCTGGCAAGCGCAAGGTCATGAGTTTGATTCCTGGTACCAAACAAACAAACAAACAAATAAAAGATGTCCAGCAATTAAAATCGAAGATGTAGACCATGGTTCTATGGACTCACGATTTTTGTCCAAAAGCTATCTAAACATGAAGAGCAACACTAAAGCTCACCCTGTGATTATGCTGGTTTCCATTATGAAACATGAATATTAACACTGCTTACTTTAACTACATTGAAAGTTGTGAACACATCCAATTGCAAATGGAGTTGCAAGCTTAAAAGGTTAATTTTTTTTAAATTAAGAGGTTTCAAAAGAAAAGAACACTCTTTTTTTCCTCTTTGGACTTGTAGTTCATTTAAGAACCTTAAATTTTAATACTTTCTTTTTAAAGAACTAATACATATTACCTTCCAACTGTTAAGGGCTCTTCTTGAAAATCAATCGCTTTGGTCTCTGGGGACCTTGAAATCTATCTACCTCTGGGGGAAAGGGCAAAGGATGCTTCACAATGAAGTTACTAAGGGATGAAAGCCAACCTAGAAAAGAACTCCAATACCAAGGTAAAGGCCTCTACAGCACACACGGGAAGAAGGGATCTACCAAAGCCCTCTGCTATAGAGAATTCTGATAGTTTATATTAACAAAGGGAATTCACTCTGTGCAGCTTACAGGGGGAGAAAGCGGCACACTTTAAAAAAAATTGGTAAAGACTAAATAAAAACAGCGGGCACCTTCTTTCTAATTGCAAGTGCACTGCCCCAGACTTCCTGCCCTTTGTCATTTGCACTAGTGGTGTGTGGAGATCCTGATGACTTCTGCAGCAGCAACTGGGCAGCTCTGGAATCACTGGAAGCCACCCAGCCGGGCCACACCCTTTCGCTGCGCATTTCGTGGAACCCTGTGAAGTACATCCCCATTTACTTGCCTACCTGGCTTCCCTTAGCTACACCAGAACTTCTGAGAATTGCATGCAGTGGTGTGGAAGGTGTCCGAGAGGAAAGCCCCGCTCCCAGGAAACGCATCAGGGGCGGGAGGGGGTGTCCCCGCCGAGCCCACTGCCCCGGGACCACGCGTGGTACCTTGTCGGCCTGGGGGCTGACTGCAGTGCCGTATCTGCAGTAGGTCACGAAGTGCTCACAATTGTTCCACAGCAGGCTGTAGGGGCACAAGCCCAGCCGCTCCTCCGCCCTCCGCGCCACCTCCTCATTGAGGAGCGCCTTCTTTTGCAGGGACTGGTCCAGGTGGTTCACCAGGACGTCGGCTCCGTAGGCAAAATCCTCCACCGTGTCCACGCGGATGCTGGCCACCTTGACGATGACGCCTAAGAGGAGACGCTTGTTGGAGACCACTTTCCGGGTGCGCTTCTCGTCTGTGGTCAGGGCCAGCAGAATGTCAGGCATTAGGTGGGCGACGCGGTTGTTGCCCAGGTAGATGCCATAGTGGGTCAGGTGGGTCCGGGGCACCTCCAGCACGTCTCCGCGGAGGAAAGAATTGACCTCATAGAATCGCTTGCTTCCTTCGTCTTCGCCCGGAGCGCCCGGACTGAAAAGCTTTAAATTGGAGAAGAGCAGCTTCTCTAGCAGTAAGGACACCGCCTCCAGCACCGGGTTCTTCATCCTGCGGGGAAGAGCGAGCTCCGAGCGGTGCCGCTGCGCTGTCCGGAGCCCGGCTGCGAGCAGAGCTCGCCTTTCAGCGGAGCGCGCCGCTTCTCACGTGCAGGCCAGAGCCCGCACCGCGGGGTACGGAGACTGCGGAGCAGGGAAGAGGGCAGGAAAGGAGCGAGGCTGGGGACCTGGGAAGGAGTAGGAGCCGCAGGCGGCTGCCGCGGGCACCGAGGGCAGCGCTCGCGGGGGCCGCTCTGAGCGCACCCAAGAGCAGTGCGCGGCGCTCCGGGCTGCTC